GCAAACAGTGTATTTTAAAAGCTACTGTACTACATAGTCCCTGCTAATCTCCTTGGAGCATACATATGGAATCCACGTGGAATTTATCGCGCATGCACGCCATGGAATCCACGTTTATTGTGCACGCACGTGCGCTATGGAATCCAGGTGGAGTTTATTGCGCACACAGGCACGAGATGGAATCCACATGGAGTTCACTGCGAGCGAGCGCGGGCACGCGCACACATGTGCACACGCGCACACAGGGAAAAACGCATACATGTACACATGTACCATTTAGAACAACCCTACCGAACGTTCTAACCAAATATCAAAACCAAAATGGATTAGGGAGCCCAAAAGATACTGAATGTAATCTTCCACTACAATGAAACTGGTAAAATAATGGGGAAACCTGTAAAAGCGCTGTGTATTTTACATGTTGTTAAAAAAAGTTGTTAAAAGTTTAGATAGCTACCAATGTGACACTTTTTAAGTGTATTAGAAGAAAATAAAGAATATATTTAAAATCTAGTTGAATTTGTTACCAAAGTGCATAGATGTTTTCTAGAACATTCTATCTTATAAGGTGAATAACAACAGCATTAGTAGATGAATTCAGAGATTTCCTTGAATGAACATTACACATCTAAAGTAATTTACCCTATATATTTTAATTGGTGCCCATATGCCATATGGTCAAACCTAATGAGACAGAATCCAGTTTGAAACTCAAAGCTTGAAGAAAAATTTTAAATTTCAAAACTTGTGCATTCCACAACCAATATTTATGTTAAATAAACTACCTAGACATACTATCATACAGCTTCATCTGTGCTCTCTATGACTAATTATTGCATGAGGATCTAAAATTTTATAAACCTAAAACTATAAACATTAAATTTTAATTTCTCAAAATACAATGAAATGCATTAATAACTGGTGAATGCATAAAGGGATATTATATAGATAAACCTGTAATAAAACAAGTATAGTAAAATGTTAATGGTAAATCTAGGTTGTGGTTATATGGATGTTCCCTATAAACTTCTCAATTTTGCTGTATAGTTGTAAATATTTTCCTAAAAAATTGTGGGGGAAAATACCTGACAGTTCTTTGATTATTTATAATTCATGCTTTTAAAGAAACACAAAGAAAACTCCTATGTGGCGTCCAATACAAGCACTGTAGTTGAGACAAACCTGGATCCCAATCCCAGCTCAATGTCTTAACTAGCTATCTGATCTTAATTACTCAACCCCGATACACCTACATTTCTCATGATCTGCAAAATGGGTTTTACATCGAGTTAATGTGAAGTTAAATTCTTCCTAGAAACCACAGTGCCAGGCACATAAGCACTCACTCAAAATGTTAGCTGTAATATATGAGATTGCTAATTTTGTGCTAAATCAAAAGGATATTCTCAATAAAGATTTAGTCATTTTTTCCGCAGCTGGCTTAACACTATTTGATCAGTTTGAGACCATTCCCAAAAGGAAGATTCCAGATAGCCAACTCACTGCTTAGCGCGCTGCGGGCGGGGGGCTGTGAGAGTCTAAAAAATATTGCTCAATCGATAGTACAAGTATTGTTCTCCATCTGAATAAAATCATTTGTAATTTAATTTTAAAAGTTTCAAGACAAACTTTAAAAGGCACTCTAAAAGGTACTCAACAACTATAGAACTGGCTTCACCTCTGCAGGTTGGTTAGATACATCCTTGTGATGACAAAACTTGTCATACTCCTCCCTCCACGTTCTTAATTGTTGGTATAGAGGCTAGGCTAGAATATGACATTTACAGTTGCCAAAATCTTTCTCCTAAATCAGGACGTGCCAACGACCCCACTTGTTCACAGGTAAGAGCACCACCTCCACCTTGGTCTATAACGGTTAGGTGGGGAAGAGGTAAAAGAGGCAGGAAAATGAATTCGCGATGGGGTTACTCAAGAACCCTCTGATTATCCCTCATGAGACCCCCTCACGACTTATTCCCGCCATCACCACCCCCACCGGACCTCTCCCCAGTTAAACTTCCAGACTCTGATTTACTAAAGATGCACTTAAGAATCTGACACCTTCCCTCCCCAGGCCTAAGTAACCGACCCCCAATGCTGGAAAAATTTTTTAAAGCAAACAACAGCCCCCGCCCCTCCCCCTCCCAACCAGCAGCAAATCTTTGTCCCACCTGCCAAAGGACCACTCTCCAGCGCGCTCCAGACCCAAGGTTGCCTCAGTCCTGCCCGCAACCTTCCCCCAACCGGGACTCGGCGACCCCTCTACAAGCCTGCGC